AGACTACATAATTAAAATAATTAGAAAAAAATAATATGCCTGAATAATTCAGTTGTACTTGTTTTTATGAAATTTGGTATAAATTGGTCGACCTCCCGCTCCATTCTTCCCCCATTCGTGAACAAGATCCCCAGATACTTAAACTCCTCCACTTGAGACAGGACGACCCACCTGACCCGGAGAAGGCACTCTGCCCTTTTCCGGCTCAAGACCATGGCCTCGGATTTGGAGGCACTGAGCTTCATCCCGGCCGCTTCGCACTCGGCCGCGAACCGCTCCAGCGAGAGCTGCAGATCTCGTTCTGATGAAGCCAACATGGCTCCGTCCATGTTAAAATATATTTTAAAAAATTACAAAACTAAACAGCCTACAGTATTTTTACAGTCTTTATTTTACAGTTAAAATATATGTTTATTAAAAAAGTCTAATGTTACAACTAATCGGGGATCTCTTTAAGGACTTTCAGAGAGGCCAGTTTGTGTTTTTGCGAGCTTTTATTTTGTACATTGAAGCTTTAAAACAATCCTGAACGCTCTGCTGAAGCAAACAGGAACATCCCGACACGACAGAGCAAAAGTGATTCGTCACGTTTATGTAGTTAAAAAAAACTGCTTGGAGTTAAATCTGTTTGGTGTTTTACCCTCCTCTCCCTGCGAGTCTCTATAACTCATYGCTCTTTTGTTTTCTGCCGTCTCATTTAGTCCGGAGCTTATAATAAAATCAGCAGCGAGGCTTATTTAGGAGGTGCTGAATGCAAAGCAGCTGTCAGCGCTTTTGCTGCTTCCTTTAAATAAAGAAACCATCTTCCAACAAGACAGGCACAGAGACGTACGAGCTTAATTAAAGGACTCGAGACTTTTTGGACTCTCGGTTCCTGCAGAACATGTAACATATGATAATTAGTGTGTGTGAAAAGGAGCTGACAYATAATGCTCCTAAACAAAGAAACAACAGGTCATGCAAATCCTTAGTACCTAGAAGGGCTGCGTGAGATGGGAGGGACTTTTTTTTTCTAGACCTCAGCTAATAGGCGGGAGGAGTGTGTGTGTGTGTGTGTATGTGTTGTGGGAGGAGACAGGAGGTGTGTGTGTGTGTGTGTGTGTGTGTGTGTGTGAGATAGGGGGAGGGGGAAAGCGAGCGAGCGGATTTGTGGCATGTAGTTAGTCAGCTGTCATTAGATGCAGATGACACACACAGGGGTAATCTCACAGAGAGCAGAGTGGGAAACCGAAACGTGTGCGTGACTGTGACGTGCGTGCGTGCGTGTGCGTGTTGGTTGTGTGTTTGGTGTGAAAAGCAGCACATCCGCCTGGCTGACGGGAGATGTTTGGCCAGCTCCTGGCTGGTTATGGACGTCTTCAGTCAAAGCAAAGGTAAGTTTTAAGAATCTGTTCGGCTTCAGGCTGATAGCAGGTTTAAAGGCACAGTCCCAGGATTTGGACCTGAAGTTTGTGACTTAAGTAATTAGTGTTGTTGGATGTATTTGTACAGATAAAAACAGTTTTGTAAACACTTGTGTGCTGAAAATATTCATCCAGATAAAGTTGGATGGATGTTTGGATTGGGGAAGTTTTGCTTTAGAACAAGATTATTCTTGTAATCATGACCTTAAGGAAAATATGATAGTTTTAATCAGACGATTGAGTGTGATAGATTGTCTGAAACTTATTAATTTATAAAAAAAATAAATAAAAAATAAATAAACACTAAGCTTGAGCTGCTTAATTACAATTACGCTTCTGTTTGACTGAACAGAAACAAGTTTGATGCTCTGTTTGTGTGTCTGTCAGAGTCAGGCTCGGACTTTGAGCTGTCATGAATTGTTATTGTGGTTTTGACTCTGTGTGTGTGTTTGTGTGTGCGTGCGTGTGTGTGTGTGTGTGTGAGGGGAGTGGTTATAAATGACTGGTCATGCACAGAGTGCGCAGTCAGCAGGCTTGAAGCTGCTCTGTCACCTAAGGTCTAACCAGCCGACTGTTTACTCAGTTTGCTTCAAAAACAACTGTTGTTATAAATTCATGCAGTTAGCAGCAGGTTCACAGACACACACACACACACACACACAATCACTGGACAGGCATCACACCCCGTCAGCCGAGATCAGAGCTCACAAGTCAGGACTTTCACAAATTAAAGTTGAAGAAGTGTTGCTCTGACAGAACCGGTGTTTGGTTCATGATCCAGTTCACTCAGTTATAACCAGTGTTGTATAAAGTAACACAAAATGATACTTGAGTAAAAGTACAAGTATCTTACCAAAAAATGACTTTGGTAAAAGTTAAAGTCTCCTTTAAGAATATTACTTGAGTAAAAGTCTCAAAGTATCTGATATTTTTTGCACTTAAGTATTAAAAGTAAAAGTATTGATGTAAAATGAGCAGTTA